CCAAACATGAGGCGGAAAAACGGAGTGGACTTCCATCTATGTACAGCATTCTAACCTCAAAAATCGAGCTGTAATTTTAACAATAACTTACCTCTCCTTGTTAGCTAGGCTGCTTGCTTTTTTTAAAGCTGGTTCTCAAAAATTAACAGCGCTATGTTGGACAGATTTGTGCCACGGTGTTCCATGAGGGAGAGAGAGAGCGAGACGTACGAGTGAGCGAATGCGATACAGTGCTCTGCAATCAAATCCGATTTTAAATAGGCTTAGTAAAAAAAATATATATACATAAAAAATCTATGTGTGGCGATCAGCGTTGATATTGTGGCGGGCCGCCACAAATAAATGAACATATGAGGCGCTTTTCCACTGCATAGTACGGTACGGTTCGGCCCAGTATGCTTCGACTCGGCGCGGAACAGTTCGGCTCGCATTGCGTTTCCACTGCAGTAGTACCCCTTCAAAGTGTGTGGGACTGATCGTTATTTGTGCGCGCCTCTACTGCCATGACATCATCTTAAAAGTGCCACATTTTCAAACCCACAACACAGGAACAATGGAGACTATCGAGGGGATGGTGTTCCTGATTCTCGGTATGTGGTTGTTTTTAACTGCTAGACGGAAAAATGTGTTTAAAATGAGGCTGATGGCAGCAAAACAAAAATACTGCTAAAAAAGTGTCTCGTGTCTCGTGTCGCAAATCCAATGACGCTAGTAGTGACGCTGGTAGTGATGATTCTGTCTGACCAATCAGTGATCTGCAGTGTTTCACGTCACATTTTAGTACCGGTACGGTACGCTTGGAACCTCAACAGACCAGGTACCATTTAAAGCGACCTGAAGCGAACCGTACTGTACCGTACCATGCAGTGGAAAAGCACCACAAGTGAGCCGTACCGAACCGAACCGTACCGTACTATGCAGTGGAAAAGCGCCAATGGTAAACTCTGCCCTCTAATTTTACTGTCACCTTCCTCAGGGATGATTCAAGTTGTGTTCAGTTCTATATTTGAAGTTTCCAGGTCTAGTAATTTTACTTTTACCTTTCTCAGACCAAGGGGGACTAAACATGCTGCTGCTAATGTTTCAAGTTTTTCACACAAGTAGTTTAGATTATTATATGTAGGCTTAAAGGTATAGCGGAGGATTTTCTTTTTCCGGGTGGGTAGTCTATACTATTGGTCCACCTAAGTGTCAATCATTCTGGTGATATGTTTACGTAAGGCCGTCGTAGGCTACGTGCTCATCCCTATGTAGTTTTCACTTTCAGGTGTATTATGTCGGAGTTACGGTTTCAGCCATTCCTTTGAAAATGGCTGAGGGTCGAAAGAGAAAAAATGTTTACTAAGTGTATGATAAGAAGAGAAAGGCCACAGAATATAGAAACAAGACCAGAGAGATTTTGGGTGAATATCACATGCTGGCGTGCACTAAAAGCACAGGTTGGGCTTCTCACGGATGCCGCAGTCGCGATTCTACCAGACAGGTAAAGTTTGTCACGCTATTTGGAGAAATCCATTTAAAATCACTAGTAAAAGTTAATGCAAGCTACAATGCTAGCCCTGGCACGAGTCATGCACCGCATAGACACGGTAAACATCTCAATTTGTCTAAAGTAGCCTTTTGTCCAAAATGGTAAATGGTATCACGCTGAAATATTTATTGTGTGTTTATTATTACACAAATGCAACAAGCTACTTCTCCATTAGCAACTATGTATAAAAATAACGTATTAACAATGAGAGATTATGTAACGTAATTACGATTTGCAAAATAGTTTCCTCAGAACGTATTTCGTGTGATACAGGGTTGCACATATCATGTCTTGAGTCCTCGGTCACTCAATCGATCAGTATAATAAGTAAATAAAACACGGAAGGGCATTTGACATGTTGTCTTTTTTATGAATGTTTTTTAGTTAGTTTAGAATTTGCAACATTGTGCAAGGCGTATAGACGTTCCCTAGCTCTCGGGAGCAAGAGTGTTGTGTTTGTGCATGTGCATTTTTTTTTTTAAATTGGAGAGGGCGGGTCTTCTCTAAAATTCGGAAAGATCCTCCACTATACCTTTAATATAGTGTAGGCGAAGCCTACCCATATAGATTTTTATTTAAAATATATTTTATGTTGCTTAATGTTTCACATACAACAGGTGAGCAAGTGCACAATCATTTTTTTATGCATTTTAATTTTCTGTGCATAATTTATTTTTGTTAAACTACACGAATGCCATTATTTGTACTGTATCCCAACTGTTATAATAAAACATCAATTGAGCAATATAACATGCATTTTTATTCAGTATGTAAGCAATATTTTCCTTTTTATGTTAAAGGTGCAAAACGCAAGTATCTGAGTTTTTGCAGAACTATGCCCCCTCTGGCGACAAGCGAAACTGCAACCAGAGGTGGTTGGACCTGGTCTTTTCACGATCAAATAGCTATCCGATCACAGAAAACGCATGAAGTGACCAGGTGTAAACAGCCCCTTTGAAGCCATCTTCTACTTTTGTGGAAAGCTGACTTAAGTTGTGTCGCTCGAGTTGTCTTCTCTGATACGGAGAACGGCGGCAAATACACAAACCTGCAAGACATAGGCAGCCAGGCGAGCGTGAACCCGCATGACGCCACGCCCAGTCTCAAATTCGAGCCCGAATCTCTCTTATTTATTTTACTGTACAGGATTATAGAGGCAATCACATTGATAAGAGAAGGGCTCATTCAGCCCATCAGGTGATTGTTTAAGCATGTATGGGTTGGAAAACGGCTATTTTTAACATAAAATGTTGCGCAATGCACCTTTAAAAACACTATTGATATCGTGAGAAATTTACATTCTCAGGAAAATAGCTGCTTATCAGTTAATCGTTAATCGATCGATAAGGTCGATCTACTAACGATTAATGAATTAATCGATAATTTGCATCCCTAATACCAGTTATTATAAAAAAAAAATAAAACTGCAAAGAAAAGGCATTATTTTGTATTTGGAAAAATGTGCAAAGGTGATTGTTCACAATAAGACCAGAAACAAGGTCAATTTCAAATTTATGCTGACTTTGGTCAAGTTACTGAGGTAAACACTGCACAAAAGGTATCGCTCTTTAAAATGGCGGACACATAACGGCAATTAATATGATTAGAATTTTGCTTGACAACATTATCAGATGTGTTGCTAATGTTACACAAACCATGTTCCTGTTCGCCATCTCAGAGGCTCACAGCTGCCTTCTAAAAACCAGTACTTTTAGAAACGCTTTGAACAACTCAAAGTGAAGAAAGATATATAGTTCATCATCATAACATAGTAATATTCATGATATAAAATGTCCGCTATATTGCTAAAAGTACCTAGCCAGGGAAAACCCAGACAACTTCTGGCAAATTTAGATTTTCTCTGAAAGTTAGTCTGGCAAAGAACTCATTCAAGCCCATTTCCAATCTGTCGAAATCGCACCACCAATCAGAAATGTTGGGGCGGGCTTTACACGATGACGACAGCGCTGGGATTTTGAAGCAGATTTTGTAGCCTACATTATAAAGATGGATGCCGCCGTCGAACATCACTCGTTCGAATCAGCCATCACGTCTGTTTTAAGCAATTTGAACGTTTCCTTTTTGTTAAAAACCGAGCAAAGAACAACACGCGGAGATGTTTCTGCATCGGCCGCCGCTCTGCAAACGTCATCTTCATCACTCTGATTGGTTTTAGGTCTACCCGCATTGGTGACGCCCCTCTGGAAATGATTTGTCTATGACTCTTTACCTTACCTGACAAGGCTAAAGGCTGTTGACTTATGACTTTGCATATGGTTTGTCTTAAAGCATATTAAAAACCACATAGACATATAATCAACATTAAAAACTTTCACCAGAGGGGTTCTTTAAGACTTTGTGTCAGTTGATAATATATATTTAACAACAACACACCAAATACAATAAATTCTTGAAACACTGAAATTCTTCCTATTCATGCAATGAAAACGCCAGTGCAGCCATGCGCGTGCATTCACATAAGAGAGATGCAAGGTAAGAAGAACAGCTGTCTTGAACCAAAACATGTCACAGTTTATCACTGAACATATGGTGTGAGCTCTGACTACCACTCAAACGCTAACAGCTTTAACTGGACAGCAGGAAGATGCAGCCATCAACATACGCACACTGCTGCAGGGGACAAGCATACACTTTATACTAATAGTGAATAACAACAAGCACCTAAGAAGAAGAAGAAACTCAAACAAAACATAACAGACTTGGTGAACTGAAAAGCCTCCAGCATGGGGGACAGACTAACAGGAAATTCACAGCCTGACACACAAATAGGCAACTTCCTGCATTGCGTTCCCGCATAAATGACAACAATGGAAGCCCCGCCCCTTCGTCAGCACCTAAAGTTAAGCTTTTGGTTTTACTATGGTAGAGGTTAGGTAAGCATTAATTTCAAGCTTGAGTAAATCTGTCCAAAACTGGACGATGCACTTAAACGTTGGTAAAAATGCAACATCATCCATTTTCCTTTTTTTTGGAAGGGAGTTGCCCACAGTATCGCACCCTTTTTAAATCATCCAAAACAAATCTCTCACAGCCGGGGTGGCTAAACCTATAATTACCGTCCTTATTTGAGTTCTCAGAGCACAAACTGAACGCATGGACCTCTGCTCTGCTCCGTAGCAGCAGCCTGCAATTAGTAAGACCAGAATAAATCAATTCCACTGGAGCCACATCTGAGAGGCTGGGTGCCTCCTAACGTACTCCCTGGAACAGTGCCCCGCAGTATACATGGCAAAAGCAACTGGGAAGCCAAAGGCAGTCCTAAAATTTCCTCTATGATTGCTGAAATCAGAACAATTTGGTCACTTCCTGTGTTCCCAAAATAATTCACATTCCCATAGACCAGCACACACAAATTATTTCCATGCAATTTGTTCCAAATGTCAGTGTCGTGCAGTAGAAACCAAAAAAAGAGAGAAAGACAAGCAAAACCAGGCCAAAATGGTCTCACCTGTGAACATAGTGCAGCTGATGCACAGAATCGATCGCCAGAACCATCTCTGCCAGGTAGAATCGGGCCATGTCCTCTGGTAAACGGTCCTCAAACTTGCTGAGAAGAGTCAAGAGGTCACCACCCACGTAGTAATCCATCACCAGGTACTGCAGAAGACAGACATGACAGAACTAAATGGCATAAAAGCAGACATACACCAGATACAACGCAAATGTGCAGATTGATAGAAGATAAAACAATAGATACATAGATCGATAGATATCGATAGATGGATAGATAGAACGATAGATATTGATAGATATTGAATGATAGAACGATAGATAGAACGATAGATAGATAGAACGATAGATAGATAGATAGATAGATAGATAGATAGATAGATAGATAGATAGATAGATAGAACGATAGATAGAACGATAGATAGATAGAACGATAGAACGATAGATAGATAGATAGATAGATAGATAGATAGATAGATAGATAGATAGATAGATAGATAGATAGATAGATACTGAATGATAGAACGATAGATATTGAATGATAGAACGATAGAATGATAGATAGATAGATAGGCAGATAGATAGATAGATAGATAGATAGATAGATAGATAGATAGATAGATAGATACTGAATGATAGAACGATAGATATTGAATGATAGAACGATAGAATGATAGATAGGCAGATAGATAGATAGATAGATAGATAGATAGATAGATAGATAGATAGATAGATAGATAGATAGATAGATAGGCATGGTTTTACTTCAGTTAGCCTAATAGCTGGTTTGATTTGCATTGAAAGATGACCTTATGGAAAGTACCCCATGCCAATCTCTAGGTATGGTGGAAGGTGTGTGATGATGTGGGGATATTTTAATTCCAAAGGCCAAGGGAACTTTATCAGGATGCATATTATCCTGGATCCATAAAATAACTGGCTTTTAAAAATAAAAATCTGCCTGACTCTATGGGAATTTAACATAGGGGTGCCCTGACTTATGCACCCTGTATTTTAAGGAAAAACATTTATTTATTTATGATACATTATTCATTCACAAAGAAAATTGGTGTCCTTAAAGGTTGGAGTTTTCCTCATTTTTCTAATTAAGGCATTAAGATCAATATCCAAAAGATGATTTTTTATTCCTCTTTTTAGGCAACTTTAGCATGGGTGCCAAAACTTATTCACACCACTGTATATAGATGATAGAATGATAGACAAAGGTAGATGAAAAGATGGAGGTAAATAGAACGATAAAACGACAAACAGATAAATAAATAACTTGATAGATAGAACAATAGATATGGTAGAATGATAGACTGAAGGATGGATGGAACGATGGAGTAAAAGATAGATAAATAGACTGATAGAACTAGATATAATTATAGAATAATGACATAATGATGGAAAGATGGATGAAGGACAGATATATAGATAAAACATACAGATAAAAAGAGTAATAGATGGAACAATATAATGATATAATGATAGACGGATGGATGATAGATGGATAAATGGAACGATAGATAGACTGATGGAACAATGGAGAGATCAATAGAATTAGAACGATAGACAGAACAACAGAGAGATAAATAAATTGAATGGATGGATGTGACAAATTTAGGATAAATTGAGGTTTACTGTAGTACTATTATGGTTTGGCGGTCGAGAAGACAACCTGCATGACAACAGTAACCACTCAGACCTCTAGAATAAGCGGTTTGCTTAATGAGAAAAACCACATGACCACCACATTTGGCTGACTGGGATTCTCATAGTAATCCCCCACATGGGAAGCGGCCAGAGGTGTGGTTCTCTCCTGCCCAGCATCTCTGAGGTCTGTCTGCCCTCACGAAACAGACCAAGACTGTTCAGGGACTCCTGGGATTGACTAATCAAAGCTCCTGTTAATGTGGAGTCAGGTGTATCAGAGGCCAGAAGCCTACCAGGAAGTTGTCATCCTGAAAAGTGTAGTGCAACGTGGTGATCCACTGACTGTCCCCATTCACCAGCACGTCACGTTCCTCCCGGAAACACGCTGTCTGGGGGAAAAAAATACAAACATTTGTTAACATTGATCTAAAACAATGTCATTTCCCAAACTAAACTAATTGATTTTGCACTAGAAAGATTTAATTGTGTACCTCTGCTCTTTTAAGCATCTCCCACTTGTTGAGGATCTTCATGGCAAACACCTTGTCTGAACTTTTCACCTTTACAACTGCTACCTGTAACACACCAGAGAGCACACAGAGATCTGACACCCGGCTCAGAGCAAGACGGGATTTCTAGAGGTCCCGATAAAATGATAAGCGCTTTGTGTTGCTTTTGTTCCATCTAGATTACCAGATCACACATGGAAGTGGTTGGTTATTTGTATTTGTGACAGCAGAGTGTAAACGTCAGAATTACAGGGCAGGTCGGGTTACTACGGGTGTACACATACATATACACACGCTGCCACGAAATCATGATACAACTCATTCTGAGGGAAGAAAGCATTCTTCACAGAGCAGCACACTCAGGACTCAACAAGTAAAGACAATCAGCTGACAGCAATTCGATCTAAAGTCAGTGACAATTTCACTGACAGCCCAAATCCAATTTTAATAACTCAAACGCTGAACTGCCAAATATGACTTTGAAATCTGACTCAAACCACTTTTTTATGTAGTAACACACACACACAATCATATAACATCAAATTAATAATATATAATATAATAATAAAGCTGCTTGAACGGACGAAAGCACAAAAAATGTATGCCAAAATGTCCGTTTGTCTAGTATCCTCGCAAGCAGTCTTAAAGGAGAACTCCTTTGGTCTAATTACACATTGGTACATAGTCAACCATTCTTTGAGATTTGTTTTCATGATAATCGAATGTAAAGTGTTTAATCTCTAAAAACTGTTTAGTGTATAACGCTAGTATATGGGGGCATATAATAAGTAAAAAGAAATCGCTAGTTTATACCACTAATAAGGCTCAAAATAGCCCCACACTAACACAGTAACATAATGAGGGTCCCTACATGCAAGACGAAGTATTGAGAACTTTGTAAGTGTACAGACCGTTAATAAGAAGATACTTTATAAAGACAGTTCACTTCGTGTATACAGGCAGGAGAAAACAGTCTTGACAAGTCAAACCACGAACGCCGTTCATACAGTTCAGAAGTTCGCTGAACTTGACTTCGACTTGTCGAGACTGTTTTCCAAAGATGGCTGCTGCCTGTATACGCGAAGTGGACTGTCTTTATAAAGTATCTTCTTATTAAACGGTCTGTACACTTACAAAGTTCTCAATGTTTCGTTTTGCATGTAGGGACCCTCATTATGTTACTGTGTTAGTGTGGGGTTATTTTGAGCCTTGTTAGTGGTATAAACTAGCGATTTCTTTTTACTTATTTTATGCCCTTATTTACTAGCGTTATACGCTAAACAGTTTTTAGAGACAAAACTCTTTACATTCGATTATCCTGAAAACAAATATCAGAGAACGTTCGACTAGGTACCGATGTGTTGTTAGACCAAAGGTTCATTTTGCGCCCGAGTTCTCCTTTAAATGAATGTAAAGAGTTGTAAGAAAATGGGATGCGTAATAGCGTGTCAAATCTGCGGCAGGTCTTAAAATGACAGCAGCCGAATAAACCTGCTGCTGTGTCATTAACGTTAATCAAAAAACAAAAGGAAAATACTCACTCACTGCTCTTGAATAACTTTTGTAGCTTTAATAAGGATTAATCTATAATCTTCTATTTATGATTTTTGCAGGAAAGACTCTGTATAGTGTCTGTTTATATTCAATTTTTGTATATATCCTACCTGTTAGACCAACCTGAAAATCTTAAAGCAGTGTTTTCAAGGTTACATGGTTGGTCAGAAGGTCAAAAATAATGAAAACAAAAACTGTGTGCATTTTGACAGGGCAAGTAAAAATCTGAACAGGTCTGGGCTGATTGATACATTGAGCCCTGATATATTGAAGGGCATAGGTACATTTAACATTTATTATAATGGGTTTATGGGAAGATTGTTTCAAGTTAAAATTGATAGCTTTTAATTATAAAATTGAGAAAAAAAATGATTTCCTAGGGACATTGGTATCGGTGATACTGGCCTTCTTTCAAAAAATGACATTCTCAAATTTTAATATATAAAAGTATAGTTAATATTAATATTTTTTCATATAATTTTATAAAATAATAGTAATATTAAGTGTTTCTTGGCAGAAAAACCAAATTATAGGGAGCATTAGTCCAAACACATCCCCCTAAACAGCACATAATGGACCGATAAAATGAAGTTTGGTCCACACATTTAAGTGTGAGCATCATGGGAAAAGGAAGTGGAATGGACATGTATTTGTCTTGAACTCAAGGTGTCCAAGTGAAACAACGGTGTGATTCACTCCCAGCGATTAAATAAGCCAAAACAAGCACGCATTGAGAGGTCTACGCATTCCAGACCGAGCCAGGATCCAAACATTTTTCCGGACAGAAATCACGCTATTCACTCTTCCACACATCTGATAAGGATTTAACAAACTAAATCCCAAAAGCAACGAACCCTAAAATTTAGATTACGATTGCTAAGAAAAGCTAACGACTATCAGCTAAAACATCAGGCAAATATCTGATCGAAAGACTGGAAAGTGACTTTTAAAACAGCGTTCAGAGCGCTGCCTGGCATTGTGCCCTCAAAACACACAGCCTTACATGGGCCAAACTCCCACAATGCAGCCTTTGAAATATAGTTATGGAAATCTAATTATTACTCACAAAACACATTTATCTTCTGTCATTATTTGGTCAACAGTACAAGATATGTGTGGGTGGACAAGAGCGAGCAATTTAAATGAAAAAGGCAATGAAAACCAGGGAAGATAACAACAGCAAGTACATTTGTTCTTAACTGTGATTCACTGGTGGTCTGAACACAGATCATTTAACTTAGTTTGGTCCTCTACAAATAACACTGTTGAAGTGGTACAAATCACACATTAACCAACTTTCCTTTACAGTAGGGATGCACCGAAATAAAAATTCTGGGCCGAAACCAAACATTCAGGCTGAAAACTGAAACAGAAAATTAAAGTCTCTGAGTTTTTGCAGAACTATGCCCCTTCTGGCGACAAGCGAAACTGCAACCAGAGATTTGCACGCTCATGGACCACACACACACACGCACGCTTGCACGAGCTGTTCATAACCCAAGGGAACGTCAGCCGCACACATCTTTTGTTACAGTCATAATGTCTTCAGAGTTAAAAAAGTCATTTTAAATATTTGAAAGGAAAGCATTTAAGTAAATTACACACTCATGTGTGTGTGAGGAGGAAACAGGGGTGGTAGAAAACTTCGGTTTTTGTCCTCCCCGATTCTATCTCAATGTTGAACTGTTTTATGCGTTTACTGTATCCACTTATGATTGTATTATTATGGAAACATGTTATATACTGTATATATATATGTAATACAACTTTGTATAGACCTTATGTAGCCCCGCCCCTTTTCAGTGCTGCGCTCGTTGTCTTTTGACTTCCGGTCTGTATTTTGACAGCGATCTTGCATAGGTATGAATGAACTGCTCGTAAATAAAATTCCTGGTCGACATTTGTTAAGACATCTGCTTTACAATGTTTATGATAACTTTTGTTAACTCTACAATAAGTAAATCCACTTCACCAGCTAATTACTCCTCTACAGCGATGCCATAGAAATATACAGAGTGACCGCAAAACCGGAAGTTCAAAGACAATATTCTAAAGATGACGGCGCCCACGTTTCTCTGGTGCATAAGGTCTATAGGAACCGTTTGAGCCCTAGAGCAGACCGGAGATCTCTCCATTTGTTGAAAGCCTTCCCGATGTTGACTCTCCTCTTATTCTGACGCCTAGCACTAGACAAAAGTTTTACTTTCTTTGTCTTACATGGAGTTTGCGTTGGGGTTTGAAATGAACTACAAGCCGGTCTCTTTGAATCTATCTTCTACTATTGTTGACTAAAGATTTGTCGCTCGAGTTGTCTTCGCTGATACGGCGAATGGCGGCGAATACACAAACCTGCCAGACATAGCCAAGTGAGCGTGAACGCGGATGACGTCACGTCCAGTCTCAAATATCGAGCCCGAATCTGTCTTATTTATTTTACTGTACAGAATTTTAGAGGCAATTGCAGTGATCAGAGAAGGGCTCATTCAGCCCATCAGGCAATTGTTTAAGCATGTATGGGTTAGAAAAACGGGTATTTTTAACATGAAATGTTGCGCAATGCAACTTTAATTAAACCTGAAATAAAATTTGACCTTTTAAACTAGATAGAAGTGCAAGCACACCAGTGTCACAGCTACGAAATTGATAAATCTAAAATCGATACACATGAATGAATAAATTAATGTCAATCATCAACTTGATCAGAGAAGAGCCAGCGATGTTATGAGAGAGTTTAGCGGTGCGCTCCAGCCTGGCTCCTGTCAGAGTCTAAGAAACCAGGATCAGGGCGGCACGGGGCGGTCGGGGTGACAGGTCAACCTTAACACAGAGACGACCCTTTGACAACTACAAAGACCTCCGTTCAGAGACCATGACACCCATCAGCATCTGCTCAGTGTACTCTCATTCTGCAGATGGTGACGTGTCATGGTCCCTGAACGGAACTCCAAGCATAAAATATGCAAGAGTGAAAATAGCTTGGCTGCTAAACACTTTTTCATGGGGTAGCAAACTGTACTTTGAGTAGTTTATGACACGTAAAATATCTTGGCGTGTCTTTGGGTCATGAAAAAATTCCTGGCCCAAGAAACAACCATGTCGCCAACAAGGGTCATAACCACTTCTCTGGTGCTTAAATGGCTGATTGGCTGCATCCCAATTCGCACACTTCTACATTCTGTAGAGTACATAGTTCACTAGTGAAACTACTGGAAAGTTCTAAACTATATACTAAGAAATCCTGTTTAAATAACATTATTTAAATAAAAACGTTAACTCTTTTGTGACTGTATTTTGTTTGTTATTTTAGTTAGATATTAATTCACTACCAGTTTACAGTTTCGCTTTGACACTTTTTGACTTGAATCAGTACAAGATCCAGCTTGTAAGAGTCATTTGTCCATGACTTCCAGACTACAGACCACAAGCATGTTTGTTTTAATTTTGTTAAATGTACTTTCAACAATTAGGTTTATTTAGCATACAGATCCGGCAAATGTTTGACATAACCAACATAACACCAAAACATTTGACCAACAAAATACCAAAATTGTGTATTGCAAAAACAACCGTATTAAATTGTTGGGGTTACAATTACAAACCATCACTTGAGAGCCACCGCTATATACTATGGATAGCTTATAATGGATAGCATATTCAGATGCAGTCTCAACAAAAGACTGATGCCTACCTCACCGAAAGCTCCTCGACCAATGACCTTGAGTATCTCGAAGTCCTCCTTGTGCAATCGCATCTGTTTCACTTTAGAGGTGAACGGTTTGGCTGTGGAGAGAGAGAGAGAGAGAGAAGACAGCATGGAGTTATTGTTGAAGACGTTCAAATCCATCACTTCACTATGATGTGCCATAAAGACCCGATCTTCTCGAAGGGATTTGAAGCAGTTTCAGTTACAGCACATTCACACGAGTCAAAAGTTCAGAGGCATCTCTGAGCAGGTGTGAGGGACAGATTGATGGTGTACCACGGTAAAGTCTTTCTTGCAGGGACTGAGCAAAAATAAAACCGGCCACTAACTGGTCACATAACTCAATCAATATGTCCACTTACTTATTTATTTTTCCAATTAGCAGAATAGCACAATCATCTGGTTATTATTAAAATACAACAAAAAAACTAATTATTTTGCAATAATATATTTTAATTTACCCTGACAACACCCAATTAAAACTTGAAAGCTTTGCATACAAGTGTGTGTTCTATCATGAATGGCAGCACAAATTCCCATTATCCCAGTTATTGTGACTGATTCTGGCAAATCATAATTGTGTGCAATACAACAGCATCAAAAAGTATTGGGGCTATTGCACACTGACTACCATTATAGACATTGGTTTCTGTTTTCAAGGCTGTATCCTTCTGCAATGAGAATCAATTATCACGTTTGTATCATTTTATGGAGCACACAAAATATGATTTACTATGGTTAAGAGGATGTGCAAAGGGTTTCTATTAAAGTTGTGAGGAGGATGCACTCAAGGCAGCATGTGATCACAATCTCAATTGACCAACTAGGACAATGAACACTTTTGAATTTGATACATTTAAGCCCAATTATTATGAGCTGTTACACTGTGTTAAATTAACACTGGTTCATCTTAATTTGATTGTGATTTTTTAACACTAACAAGTCTATTCATGACTACAATTTCATAAAGATGCACTTTTTTGACTTGGACCAGAAAGCAATCACCTAATAGCAATCATCCAGAACATCCCAGAATACCCTAGCAACCACACCAAAACAACTTTGCATTGGGGCAGCAAATTTTGAATGGAAAAACACCACTCACAATGACTTCTTTCTATTGAAGACTTGTGACGGAACGCTTCCTCCCCTTTATTATCATAGCCACCCCGTTACTTAAATCGCCGCCCTTCGTCAGGTTCCCATCACCGACGCCGTTAAACTTTGAGAACCCCTCCATGGCAGTGTCTTCCCCCTGACATGCTGGTGTCCTCGCAGGACCCGGAGGGGAGTGGGGACGGATTTCTGCACCCCCAAGCCGTGAGTCGTCGGACCCGTATGCTCATGCAGGGATGCACCCCTCTCTGCTGCCATCAGGCTGAGAATGGCTGGACTGCCTTGCTATCTTGGGAAGACGAGCTGCTGGAGCTGCCCATCGAGCCTCAAAGAGGGGAGCAAGTGCGGCCACCGGGACCCCTTTACCTGGACCAACTCATCTGAGCACTGCCTTCCCTACACGTGGCCCAGCACAACAAGGACACCAAATCCTGTTTATTTTGGACACTTTTTACGCCAATGGACACTTTATTCCCATTTTTGGACATCACTTTGAGGCCTGACGCCACTCCCACTGTCTATAGTTGCCTCTCCCACCACAATCCATACAGCTTCAATGCTGTGTGCAGCTTATGAATGAACTCTGTACTGGTCAATGAAAGTCACATTGAGCTCAAGACTGCCAGCTCAAGAGATCAGACACAAAGACAGCAATCTTTCCACTTGCACTGCATTAAGTCCAGTCTCTTGTACAGATAATGAGCCTTGTGCTGTTCAGTTAACCCTGCATAATAACATAAAACAGATGTAGTTAGCTGAAACTAAAGTAAGCTCTGAAAGTAAGATACTGAAAGAGTAACTTCTGTTATAAGCACACTTGGATTTATGAAAGAACAGTTCACCCTAAAATGGAAAAAAATACTGCTCGTTCACATTTAAAATAATCACACAACACCTATAGCCATCTATGTAAGCAAAGTCGATTTAAACAGATTTAAAGTAAAGATTTTATTGTGCAAAAAAAGAAAGAATTATAGGGTACTGATGTTACAAAGTATACAAAAAAAGCAACACAATTCTAGATTAAATAGTCTACATCAAATATGCCTTCTTCATGGTTTCATCTTCTTCATGGCTTCATGGTTTTATGGAAGTTGAGCTTCCATAGAAACCCTCTGTTGCACGCCAGTGGACATGCGCCGTTATGAATTCCTGTGCGGCCATGCGCATTTTACTTTCACTTCAGAATTACCGTCAATTCGGGGTGGGCAAGTGATGTAATCGGTGAATAAGAGATGGTAAAATTGAGTGGGTCCAATATTACTGGTCTAAAAAAGTGGTTGGGTCTTGTTGAGCTTCCGCAAGAACCAATGAGGTTTGTTTTCACACGTGAGCTTCTGTTAATGTGCGCTGATCAATGTTTTCATTTTTGGGTGAACTAACCCTTTAAAAGGTTATCCAGTCATAACAGTGGTTATTTACATTTATAAGCTGTATCCTAAAGCACCTGTTTTTTATTCTATGGGTGTTAGAGAAGCTGGAAAATGGTCAGGTCACTTTCAATAAATGTAATTTGCTTATATTCCCATCAGAAATCAGTCACTAATGGTGCTTGGCTCACTTCTATGGAAACGGCAATAACATAAGAAAATATGGTAAATCTGAACTCTCGTCGAACACGCAAATCCAGATTCCACGTCCCTGATGAAATCACCTGACTAGGATGTGTATTTACTGTCATACCTTTCGCAAGAGTGCATAATTTATGTACTGTCAAACAGCAAGAGATTCTAAAGACATAACTAATGTACAGCAAAATTGACAAAGCAACAGTTTATGGCTGGTGTGGCCAAGAGTGGTTAAAAATATGGGTTGGTTGTTGGTTTAACCTCACAAGGGCTGATCAATGAATTATCACCATCATGCATTTGAGCAAGTCATTTAACATCACATCCTAATTGCAATGCAACAATTTACTAGTGACAATTAAAGTGAAAAAGCTCTACAATAAGGCAAAAAACAGCCATTCAGAATGTGTTTTAAGTTAAATATGGATTTGGATCAATGAGATTTCACTGTGACTACAGAGTAAATCATAATAGAAAAAGAAACCAAGTGACAATCACAATGTCTAGTTCCTCATTGTTTGTTGCTCTAACTTAGCGTTGGTTTGCAAGCCACACCTGGCCAGGTTTCGCACCCTTTTCTTTCCACAATAAATGATCGATAAAAGATTAGACATGTCAATAGAGATCAGCTTTCTGCATTAAAAAGCAACCAATTTCCTTTTTTGACCTCCCCAAGTTAATGGAAAGTTTAGAATACCGGCAAAAAGTGTGCGTTCAGTGCAATTCGCCAGTGTCACGGATGCAATCAATGGCAAACCACTTAAGATTCTGTGGTGGAGATTGAAACTACTCAGAATTAAGCAGCTACATAGCTTGATTGTTGTAATGGTGAAAATAAAAAAATTTAGAACAGCGGAGAATATTTTAAAGTGACTGGAATGAAACATACGCTTAAATTGAAACTGGTGCTCTGCTGTGCCAAGAGACATCTCTAAACATTTCACTGAGTACTTTTGCTTTTATGTCATATAAATGTGTGTCGCATTTATGGTAATCTAATCTGCACAGCTTTCCGTGGGCAGTAGTGTTTGAAGTTATTAAGAAATAAAGAAACATGAATGAATGAGGAAAGAGTGTGATGTGCTTGATATAAAAAATATGTGCAATAAGCCAGGAAAGAATACACAATAGATAGATAGATAGATAGATAGATAGATAGATAGATAGATAGATAGATAGATAGATAGATAGATAGATAGATAGATAGATAGATAGATAGATAGATAGGCGTAGCCATCTTGGCAGCGCGTCACTCCCGAATTACCAACAATAAAATGATTACTACAGAGGCGAGTGTTGACGGTGATCCTCAGAACTTCATCAAGGTTGGCTCTCTAAAAACCACTTCTTTAAACCACTTCTTGATGTGATCGTTTTTAGGGAATTTAAATGAAGATACAGCCTATGCATGTTCGTGTCAAAGGCATAGCTAGGTAGCAAACTGTAGCAAACTCAGCTGTAGTAACTAATAGTACTGACAGTCACTCGCGATTGAGCGGTGAATGCGAATGTGCTCGGGGAGTGTTATTGTGTGTTAGGGGAGAGATTAGACTCTGTGGGTCATCAAATAGGGGGGTGTCCAGGAGCTCATGGGCTCCAGTGCGTCATCGAGCCCTGTTTTAGCCCCGCCCAAACAATGCGTAAAATTGCAATGGTGAAAAACAGTTTAATGGTCAAACTCCACATTTCAGTACTTCACAGTTCACAGTCTTTGTAATATGTTTTAGCAATACATATGTAACATTTATAATGTGTTTAGAACTTTTTTGTAGAATTGCCTTTACAGGGACTTTAAGGGCAAATTTGGCTATATACAAGACCAAAACCACTTTTTGTATCAGACTGTAAACACATTTATTCTGCTGTAAAGTTGGGCATATTAACATGGGGGTCTAGGGGATTGACTCTTTTTAGCAGCCTGTTTCTAGAGGCCAGTGGATGAAATGCAAAGTCACTTCCGTGTGGGTTTCAAGAGAGAGACCGGAAGGTTCCCGGTTATGCCGAGTTCAGACTGCACGATTTTTAAAGTAGTCGGGTCACTGTTCTTTTCACACTGCAGGACTATCTTGGCTAGCATTCAATCGCTGCTGTGTTCACACTGCATGATGGATCGGAGACAGAAGGTTTCACACTGCATGACTTTACAATAGAATAGCCAACAACTCTGTCTAGCACGCTGCGCGCAAACTACACGTTTCACAACAAACACAGGCGAGATGTGACAAGGAAACAACGCAACATCACACGTGCAAGAGTTCTCACGTGAGACTTGTTCTTTTTCGACCCGGTTGTGGTCCAGCTCAGATGAAACGTCAAACAGACACGGGTGCTCTTGCCAAATTTCTACTAATCTTTTTTTCAATTGCTTGGGTCCAAAAAGACCGAGAAGAAGT